TGATTCCAAGGGTTACACACACACGCCTCCCCGAAGGGAGGCATGTGTGGCCTCCATCCTGCCCAGAAAGGAGGCAAGGCACATGTGCATGCAAAAGGGACAGATGAAAATGAAAAGGACGAGACAGACAAAGGTGTGTGTGGTTGCCGATGAAGAAGAACCCAGTGAAGAGGGACAACCGATGAACCAAACCTCATTGTAACGAACCTGGGCCACCCGAACCTCGATGTAAGTAGAGTACGCGTGCGTGTATGTGTGCAAACTAAGGTCCGGACGATAGTACGCGCAAGAGAAAGAAAGGATAAGGATGAAGAGACAGGAACACAGAAAGACATGAAAGAAAAGAAGGAAAAACGTCTGTGGGGGCCGATGAAAGGGGAACCAAATGAACGGGGACAAACCGATGACAGTCCAAACCTCATTAGAAAAACCTGTTGCAGAAGCCTAGTTTGCTTGTAAACACGCCGCGCGCGGGGAAAGAGGGGGGAGGTGGAGGAAGAAAAGAGAGGGAAAGAAAGAAGGAAACAAAGTTGCTCCCAGCTACGACACAAGCGTCCAAGGACACACCAAAAAGGAAGGGCTCCCAGCTATGACAAAAGCATCCAGGGACACCCAAGGAAGAGGGTGAAGAGAGGAAAGAGAGAAGGAAAGAAAGAGAGAGGGAGAGAAAGGGAGAGGAGAGAAAGGAAGGTGTTCCCAGCTACGAACAATCGTCCAGGGACACACCAAAGAAAGAGAGGGGAGATCCTGAGTATTCCATTCAGGAAAGCCCCAGAAAGCAAAGAAAGAAAGGGGGAGGGAAGGGGGAGGAGGGGGGACTAAGTGCTTGACAGGTTCCAATGAACCTTAAACTTGCTTTGACCGCTATGGTCACCTTGTGCCCTGCCGAAATGGCTGGCTGCTTTGACCGCTGCGGTCACGTGAAGGCATGAGCCAGCTTGGAATTCCAAAAATGAAACAAAAATCTGAGTTCTTGTGGCGTGAGCCAGCTACTGTCCGCTCCGGACACCTACGTTCCCAAAGCCGGGGAACATGGACAGACACCCGTTCGACGGGTCCACGGGAGGCACTCTACGGGCTCATCCCGGGTTGGCACGAGGCCAAACACACTTATGGATATGCGTACTGACTCGACAGCGGTGCCACACGCCGGCCTGAGTGAAGACCTAAGGAGCCAGGACAGGTGTCAGTAAGTGGAGGCCCTTACTGCAAGGTTGGAGGCCAGCAAGACTCAAAACACTGCAAAGTTGGAGGCCAGCAAGACTCATAACACGAAACGCGAGTAGCCCATGAAAGCAAACCACAGCGAGAACAACAGGTAACCAGTTTGGCAGGTACGTTTGCACGGACCCCAGAGGAGGTCTTCGTTGGGCACCGCTCCTCTGGGGTCCCGGTGGCCCCCTGCTCCAAACCTAAAGGTTCCCTTTGATTCCAAGGGTTACACACACACACACATGTACGCACTACTCAGGGGGATGGGGATCACGACCCTTGCCAGAAAACACGGGCCGCTTGGGCATGGGCTTAAGCGGATGACCATCTCCTTGAGGCCGAAAGGACCGTGATTGCAACCATTACACCCAGAAACGGCCTACTTTTCCGAAAAAGGGGTACTCCAAACAGACCCCGCAAAACTGCTTCACGATCTGAAAAAGGACTAAAACCAAGGTCGCTGCGTCGCAGGGTGGCTGTCCACAAGTTCAAATACACCACTTTCCCTAGTTTAGCAGCCACGGTCTGGGTCTCCCAAATTAAGCTCACGCTCCCAGTCGCCCCCAGGACCCGGACCCTGGGTCACCAGCGACAACCTCTGAGACGTCTCCGTCTGTCCCTCACGCGAGTGGCGGAAAGGCTGCGGCTTCATCCAGGCTCAAGGGCCGTTGGAGAGAGCTACCCAAGGCTTGCAGCACACCCTTGTGGGGCCGCCGATTCCTCAACCGCGAGGCAAGCCCAGGGCCCTGCCCAGCACCCCGGACATGTTCGACCACGCTGGTGACTTCGGAAAGAAAGAAGCATAGGATGTGTTTTCTATGTGGGCGAAGACATAGATGCTTGAAGCAACATGATGCCACTCTACACCCGAAAGTGTAAGAATTGATTTCAGCCGTCTGCAAACCAATCATTGACGTATGCCTTCTCTCAGTTGTCTCGAAACGACAGATTCTCGCTCGTTCGCTCCCTCAATCCCCTGAACGCGCGGCGTCAACCAATGTCATGAGTTGTCCTTTCATGCCCATGGTAACCATGGACAACCAAGCGTTTGGCTCGTGTCCCCCCTTCACATCGCATGGCTGATGCTTGTGGCTTGGTTTTTGCACTTTTGAGGGCGTCGCGCCGGGCCCCTGACCGCCCCTGGTGCCAAAATCATCAAACGTGCCAGGCGCCAACATCCACCTCAAAATGCCCCAACAACCTGTTCACTTGAAAGTAAGGCACAAAATACATGAGGCCAAGCAACAACGAGGCAGAGGCCTCCACGTGGCGAGGCAAAGCTCTTTCAGGGGACACCCAGTTCTCTTCCAGTTCTCATCCGACAAATCTTTCAACGGCCCATGAACATCCATGAAAAACCTTCCACACCAAGGCTCAAATGCAAACAGGCCAATGACAAGGCACCTGCAAGCTTCTCCGGCCCCAGTTCGGCGTGGTCTTCCGAGTGAGCACCATTTGGCACCGTTTTTGATGCGAACTCATTCATATTTTGGACGGCAAAACCTCTTGATCCATAATGTTGATTACTTTTTGTGTTTCTATAATGTTTAACAATTATTATGTTTAATCATGTTTAATCCATCAACAGTTGACTCCTTCGGGTCTTGAATTTTCGACGCGCTCGTTCGTGTTTGCTCCTCATCCAGTTGCCGAAAGCCAGTCCCTACATGGGTAGCCCTGGTCGCCATAGGTGATGGAGAAAAGGGCTCTCGGATCCACATTGGCCATCTTCTCCGTTGCAAAGCAAGTGGCCAAGCAACGGGTCCATAATTGTATGGGTCCATTGTCTTCATGAATGTGTACTTACAAACGTAGTTGCAATCTCTTTCTGCCTTTGGTGCCAAAAGCAAAGACCACGAAACAGGATATAGACTGCAAAGACCTCGAAACACACCTTACTTCCCGGATGCTTCCCTTGTTCGTTCGCCAGGGCAATCAATGACGACCTTAACATTCCTCACACGATGGCCCCTCCAAAGTAGGGGGCCGTACCCAAACCAATCCGGAGGGGTCCGGACCCCGAACCAATCCCTAGGCCCTAGCCCTTTGGTTTTGAGGGACCGGGATGTCGGCCTGCTTGGTGCGTGTCTAGTGCGTCTGGGCCTCTTGCGACCCACCGGTGGGTCCCCCCCCACCTTGGACGTGGCCGAGCTCCGCCGAGGTCTGTAGATGGAAGAGCCCTGTGGCGTGGCGGGTGGAGGAGCTGGGAATCGAACCCAAATTCAGTCCAATACCAAATCCAACGAATCCCAACCACCACCTGAAACGACCTGACGGAGTCTGGCCGGGCATATAATATGTATATATATGCCATACATGGGTTGTGCTGTTGGGACCCCTTTCAGTATAGTGCTTTCCACCTCTCAACTGCAGGAGACACCTTGCAGGGTCTTGACATGACAAACACGTGATTCACCAACAGCCTCTTGGAATCAACGGAGCACCAAGCACGCCGGAATCCGCTTGATCGAATCCCCAAGCATCTATAGACCTAAGCAAAGCGTTCGGAACCTGCTGCACTCTTCCGTAGCACGGAAAAAAAACACACACACACACACACACATCTTGTCCAATCCACGACGTTTTATTTGCCCGTTTGATTTGATTCCATCCTGTGGGTCCCAAACGCTTTCACCGGAGACTCCCGGCCCCATGGGCCTTGTGCTGGGCTCGTCAGCACGTTGTGGCCGATGAACTCCGCGTTCGCCTGGACGTGCCGCGCGTGGAGCATGGCCAGGGCGAAGTGCACCTGACCGAGACCGGTCGGCCCTGCCGGTCCGGTGTGCTCGGTCCGGTCGGATGGGCGAAGTTGGGAGGTCTTGTTAGAGTACAGTAGAGATGGGGAGATGGCCCTTTATTGGGGGTGATGGCGAGGGGAAAGGTGGTCAAAGAGCACCGAAAGGTAGGCATTAAAAGGAATGGAATCCACAGACAGGGTGGAAACGAGGTTATATACGATATTATCTTGCCTTCAGACCCTATAAAACCAGCCATTCTGACACAGCCTCTATCGTTCACCTTCGAGCGATCACCCCCACATCCATCTTAGCTGACCTGGAACAGGGAGAACATCTGGCAAGCCCAAAAGCAAAAGAGCCAAACTACATGTTACCTCCAACATAAGCGAGACTTCGTCCCAGCCCGCTTGGAGCCCGCTTCCTTTCCCAAACCATCCATGTATGGCTTATTCACCGTATACATTATGGCCATAAAAGGAGGTGAATGATGGTATATAATCATATGAATACCAGGACCCTCCAACAGGCTGTTTGGAGACCCTAACAGGTGGTTTCTGGACACCTGTTGTCACCAGGAAACACCTGTGAAGTCGGGTGCTGGTATATTCCATACGTCCGGACTCCGGACCGCCCCGTCTGTTTGGGGACCGCACCGTCTGACGCACCGGAAGACGGAAGCCCAGACGTCACGGAAGACGAACTCGGAGGATCCACGGTCCGACTCACCGTCCGGTCCGTCCACGGTCTCCCCGCACCTTGGCATACATCGGTGAGGATACGGTGGAACCTCAGCCCATTCGGATTCGTTCGGGACGAAAAGGACGTTGGCTCACTGAAGAAGCAACCAATCTGACTGAAGAGTCAAGCTGAGTCAAGCTGGATAGGTGTGTTCCCAAATGATCAGATTCAAATCGCTTCAAAGCAGCTCCCGAGGTCTTGGGTGTTCGTCACGAACAAGAAGGCATCGTTTCTCCGAGCGAGACAGTTTTCTTATTTTTTTGGATATGATTTGGATATGGCTTTACCAACATACGATCTGCCAGTGAGCATCGACTTCTTTCCAAAACTAATGATGTTAACATATGTTATGTGGATGGAACCTTTATTCCTTCGAGGATGGTTGGAAGGTTTGTTCCAACCACCCCCAAAACCCGCCTCCGCGAAGAACACCGCGCCACCGGGTCCGTCCGAGAGCGGCCAAACGAGAGCACAAAGGCATTCGGGCTTGGGAATGGGTCTATGGCATTAGAGCATGGCTTCTATGGGTCTATGCCCTAGCGACAAAGGAGTTTTTTGTTGGATGTTTGTTCCCTTTTTCCCCGCAAATGATATCGTATACAGGACACTCCTTTTCAATCCTTTTCACACAAAAACAGAGCTGGCTGAGCTCCATTGTGTCGCCATCCAAAAGCTTGGACACAAAACCCTCAAGGGTCGCCAATTTGCAATAGAACCCACCAAGTTATACATGAATGTCCTCTTCTTGGTTCGTGAGTTCTATACCGGACCAAGTTATTCATGAATGTCTTCAACACTCTGAGGGCTCTCAACAATAGGTCCGGCATGTTTGTCTGCTTTCTATGAATTTCTATGACACCCCATCACATGGAGAAACCTCACCATTGCTGGCCACCTATTCACCCACAGTCAAAGATGTACATATTGCGGAAGAAAGCACGTCCACCAATTCACACGGCTGTGCAGAGCGCTGGATGACTCAAATCCAAATGGAGGTCGTTGAACTCGAAAATCAGATCCCACTCTCAACTTTGGTTTTCCCATGATCTCCCCACCCAATCAAGAATCAAAACATATCGAAACTCTCGTTCCGAGCGAAGCACTCCACGCTTTCGCCCGGGGCACTGTGTGGTACCGAACTCTTCGCAGGCACTAACGACCCGTCGAAGACCACCTCCTCACGAGGGCTCTCGTTGGGGCTCCCGTTCATCGGCCTCTGCAAGCGGAGCACAGCGCGGAAAGGAACGTGCCGGGTGTGGAAAGGAAGGTGCGGTCTAGTCCATAAGAGGCTGCCGCGGGGTGCGTCTTGGACTTGTTTGGTTCGGACCTCCATGGGATGTCGTTTCGAGTTTCGACGAGCATCTCCAAGCATGTCCGATCAAATCCTAGGACGTCACTGATGAATTGACGCACGGGAACGTTTCAAAAGACCAGGAGGTTCCATGGGTTCCATCGACTGTTCCTCCGCATGGCGACTGACCTAGACAGAACGCATGAAGAAAAAAGCTTCTCGCAGCCTCAAACGGCACAGTCATCCCACTGCACCTGTATTGGGTGGCAGCTCCGTCACCCGGCATGGGCGAGTGCGCAAAGGGGGTGAGGCCCAGTTGGTGGCAAAGGCTGTTGCAACCTGGGCAGGTTACAACTTCCGGTGCTGGCCGGAGGAGAAGCGTTTCTGACTGAAACGCCCATGTTGGTTGAGGTGCTGGCATGTTTCCACTGTTTCCACCACATGTATTGTGGATTGGAAAGAATCAAGATCAAGGTGCTATCTAATTACGAATGATTCACTATGGTGAAGGAATGGGTGACAGGTGGGTTGGCGAAGGTTAGGTGCAGCACGACCCGCAGGAAAGGTGGGAACGTGTTTTCACCCCACCTTTGCTTTCAGAGACACCTGGTCATCCAAAGGGCCATGCCATGTAAGTTCACCAGGATGCTTTGAGGGGGGACGTAAAGCCTCAGGTGCTGGCTGCCTGGCTCACCAAGCTTCCGAAAGGGAGGCCTTCAGTGCGCCCAGCTCCACCGTGCTGGAAGCGATGAAGAAGCGATGTGATGAAGCGGTGCTGGGGAAGGAGCCTTTCACATTCCTCACCCGACTCCTTAATGTTTCATTCTTCTTAAGCAACCAGGACCCCCAGGAGTTGGGTGATTCACGGACACCCCGTAATTAACAGCTCAGGGGCCAACAAAGATCAACACCTCGACAGGAGGGTCCTGGAAGTCACCTCCATTATGAACTTCAGGTCTGCCAGAAAATCCAGATCCAATTCGATGTGTTTCTGTTGGCGCCCCAGAATCCTGGTGATCTCCACCCCGAAAGCTTGCCAAGCAGTGAACGCAAGCTGAACGCAGACATGAACTTCAGGAGACGATGGCTGGATGGCTGGTGCCAACAAAAACATCCAACAGAAAGGAGAGGATGGAGAGGATTTCCCACCCCTTATCATGACGAATCTCACATGATGGTGTGCAACAGAGACCTAAAAGGCCGCTGGTGGATGGCCACAGCCATATCCAAACCTCTGCACCTTTTGCAAATCAAATCAACTGGTCAAGCCTACATCATGTTTCACGTGTGTCCATGCTGACCAGGAAAAAAACAACGCATCCGAAAAGGCGATCCTGCAGATCCAAAAAGACATCAAAAGATCCCAAACACACTCAGTGGCAAAACATTGAAAGACTGCCCATTTCATGCGAAGGGTCATGACCTATGGTGGCACCCTTTGGTTCAAAGAATTCATGGAGAATCTCTCTAACGTGTCACCAAAACAAACGTCCTCTCCAGGCAGCGGTGGCTGGCGAAAAAGAGCGCCATCCCCCGAAGCCCCATGTTCCTCGCACGAACCCGGTCGTCGTAGCTCCGGCAGCTTGAAGCCGGTCTGGTCCAAAGGTACACTCCGACTGACTCACATCACATGGAAGTGGGACATGGGCCTTTCGAAGACCATGTTCTGAATACCAAACAGGTGGCACCATCCACTTCCATGTTAGTGAGTCAAAGGGTAACATCTTCTGGAAGTCCCTCACAAATTCTTCTGGCGGGCCAAACTCGCATCTCAGGAAGGGTGGTGATGGTCTTTGTGGTAGCGCGTTGATGCTGTAGGAAACGTTTGAGGAACCCCCACCACTTCCACCATTTCATCACCTTAGAACCACTGCCATTTCCAACCATCGGGGGGAGCGGGCGGACGGTGTTTTCACCCTGCCAACACCGTGAACGATCGGACAGAGATGGACGCAAGTGCCGAGTTCGCGGATGGGCCAAGGACTTGCAACACCTCCTCTCCCAGATGGGTCACTGGCCATTCTTTAAAACAGAATGGGCATATGAGATCATATGAGGCAAAGGCGGATGTCTTCCAAACCGACCGACCCCATCGACCCCACCAAGCAACCGACTCGACCACGCTGTCAGTTCCTAGATCCTGACTTTTGGAGCCATACTCGTTGCCCAAGTTGGAGCTTATGGCTTACGGCCGCAAATACTGGAGATATATGGTTGTTATAATCCGTACTCACCCGTCCACATTCCACATTGGGAGGGTTAGCTCATGAATGCTCATGACCTCGTACCAGCTCGGCCTCTCTCTTCGCCTCCGGGAGTCCCCCGTCCAAAGCGCGGCCCGCTGCTTCCGCTGGCCGTGTGGATTTGAGGATCCGTGTAGAGGTCATCGACCCCTAAGGGGCCGAGAGGTCATTGACCCCGACCGAGAGGTCGCACCGGTGGCTTGCGCCGGGTCCGATGACTCGGGTGAAGTGTCGACCCCGAGGGACTTGGGTGACCCGAAGGAACAGACCAAGAAGGATGACTATTACTAGTAGCGTGGCACTTGTTTCTAGTTCCATGAAGTAGATACGTGACTCTTCGGATTTTGACGCGCTTTTCTTGGGATTCAAAGAGGTTCAGGGTACTTTGCTTTTTCACAAGACGGTCAACCTGGTATCTTACATGTTCTGAGGCCACGATCAATCCTGCTTTTATCTCATTTGCTGGTATGGGATTGCTCATCTCAATCAAAATTACACTATCAACACTTTTTGATATAGAATGTATATTGCCCTCACTGAACTGCTATATGGAACGAGGTTACGACCAAATCCAGCAAAAACGTGTGCCCCATGATTTCGCACGGTTTATATACGTTTCGCAATGCATGCTTTAAGGCGATCTTTGAAAAATCAAAGGCACCGTTCGAGCGGATGCCTGCGGAGGATGAGGCTCCGGAATCTCCAGGGTCTTTGTGTATAGCAAACATGGATAACCCGCTACCATGGCATATAGCTGCAAATTGGCAATAGCTACTATGGCTAAGATCTCCAGGGGCGGGTGGTATAAACTAATCTGTCCAAGGACACCTTGTATGTCCACCACGATTTGCTCGGCACCAGAAGCTTCGAAGGTGAAGTGAGAGAAAGCATGAGGCGTATTCCTCGGTGCATGTTCACAGCCAGTCCATGCAATCATGACTTTGCGGGTGACCAAGCAGGGACCTGCTACCTCCCTGGATCATGAAGTGGACAACCACCTGTTTGTAAAGGAAACTGGTCTTCCATGTTCCACTGAAGCCCATGACCGAAGGTTAATCAAATGGAGCACGGCGGACAAGGTAGACTATCGCACAAAAAGTAAACACATAAAACAATTAATGAGCCCAAGAAGGCAAACTATGGCACACGCCCCAACACGCACTAAAACCGAGGCTCTTGGGGCCCACTTCCAGTCAAACTGCCTACCGGAACTGGACATTTGACTTCAACATCAGCTGCATATAGCTGCATGGCCAACGAACGACCATCTTTAAGCTGGACTGCAAATGGTCACCAGCCCTGTAGAAAGAACACACACACTGACCAATGGATTTCATGAGCAACTCAATTGTTGCTCTGAATTAAGTGTTGATTGCTTTCTGTTCTTTCCTTGGTAGTGGGAGTTCTTGGCGCACAGATCGAAAGTTGCGAGATTGAAACACAAAAGATGCATCAAAACACAAGAAACAATCAAGCATTGGGCTCTATAACTTCCTGTGGCCCCTACACTCGTAAGAGTAAGAGGCATCTCATCAATCCTTGGTGGTTAACACTTCATGAACAATCTCTATTCCCAATGGAATGAACACTTTGCAAGACTTGAAGATCTCCGTCTTCCACAGGCGACTAGACTCCTCCAGCTCCACCAGGTCACGACCACCCCCACCGACCGACGACAGTCCGTCGAGACGCGGCCACCTCCACCACCGAGGCGCCGCACCACGTCGTCGGCGACGAAGCCGGAGTTGCTGGAATGCTTCGTGAAGTTCCCATCCAAATAGGCCTCCACCTCGGCGTCGCGTCGCGGGACCTACACCGGGGGCGGGCTGGCCTACACCGGGCAAGGCCGGTCGTCCATGTGGTCGAAAGGCAGTACATGGGGTGAGGTGAAAGGGCCCATAATAAAAAAAATAGTCTCATGATTTGATGTTGTTTCTGCAGATCGCGGCCTGTGAAATTGCTGCGGATGGTGTTCACAAGCTTCGCAAATCAACACACATCGATTTGCTCAAGTCTTTTTTGATGGGAAATCAAACAACCGGTATAGGGCATAGGAGAGCGGGTTTAGGGTTCCCCCACTTTTGGATCGAGAGGTGCCTTCGTACTACACCTGGTGCAGCTCGAGGTTCTCCAGACCATCCAAACCTCATGTTATCCTCAAACTAGACGGACTACAGAACAAACCACACACACATCACACTTCAACACGCCGTTCTATCCTTGGATCCCTCACACAGGATGATTACGTAAACCACAAAACCACAACAAAATGTCTCATTCCCAAACGCATGCTGGGCTTTTTGGTGTCCCAAACTGGGCTGCCGCAGTCACGGGGGCAATTCTTGGTGCTAGGCATGCCGGGGTGCTTACTCTCCACTCACTTAGGGCCCAAGTTCCACAATGTGCCACCCACTTTATGGGTAACCCGTTTGGATTTCAAATCGTCCTTCATTGAAGGGACCAAATAGGGTTCGAGGAGGGTCACATATATATATATATATAATCTTCCTTTGCTCTTGAATCCTTTGAAACAATGTCGTCCATCGACAACTTAATTGTCAGAGTTGAAACTCTTGGATACGAATGCCCCCAACTATATATAGTCATATTCATTGTCTCAGCTCTATAAACCAACATAGAAGTGATTCCATTTTGATGTATTCCCAGCATGCACTTGCTCCCTCTTGTGCTGTCTTCTGCAGTTTCCGATGTAACACCACACAGAAAAGTGCATGCATGCATGGCCAGCGCCTGTGCATCAGCTTGCGCACTGCGCAAGTTGCTCTCGCTGGTCGCAGTGATTTGCAGTTTCGCGTACCAAGCTTGCCACCTCCCGTATTCAGTTTTCAACATGTCCAGGTAGTGCTGATCTGCATTGGCCTTGGACAGATCAGCCATCACGGTGTCTGCGATGCCCAACTGCCTTCGGGTGAGAAAAGATTTGACAACCGGAATGCGCTGGGCAAAAATGGTTGCCACATTCTTCATGGACAGCTCTTCAGTTAGCGGAGAGCTCACAATGGCGTCGAGGCTGGACCAATGCACGCTGCAGAACACTTCCGCCACAAACTTGTTCCGCTCTGAGGCTCTGATGCATTCTTCAGGACGACTTCACCAGTGTAAGGCGCTTCCCTGTCCGATTCTGCTTGGAGATGGTGAAATTCCGCCGCCATAAAGGAATATAAAGGAGCCAGCGTGCTTGCTCGAGACATGGACAGCCAGCGTGCTTTCATGCACATTATTGCCACCACTTGCCGTAACTTCCTCTACTTTACCGTCGAGAAGACAAGCCAGAGACGACTTAACCCATTGCAGCTGCCCATGAAACTGCACTTGGAGCAGCCTACAGCTACAGCACGCCGTTGGCCAAAGGAAACATAGAAAGGACAGTATGGCCGGCCCGAAAGAAAGCAGGAGGGAGGAGATGAGAAGACAGTTAAACAGAAATGATGAACGATGAATGACGACGAAGATGACGATGATGTATGATGACTGATGTACATGAAGTACACTTGATTGGGATTTTGTGTTCTTCCTTAACGTCATCTGACACAACCCTTCCTTCTTCTTGTGTGGAAGTGGTGGCTCATCTCTGCATGATGAGCAAAATTAATCCCTGCTTGTAGCAACACCTGCAAGTCCAAAAGAATCACATGATTACTACCCAAGTATACCCAAGTACTCATGGGGAGGCGCCTCATATTCGCACACATCTCTAGCTCATATTCGCACACACGCCTTTCAATTGCCTTTCAAATCACACTTCCATCATCAAAACTCATCTTCGCACACACTCCCATGCCACACTCGAACACACTTATCTGAGATGTGAGACTTGTCGTGGATTCCTGACGTGGGGCTAATAGCATGGTTGGTCGGTGGCCACAAAATCACAGCTTGCTTGCATCTGTGCACAACTGATCCTGTTGTTGCTGTTGCTGGTGTTCTTTTCGTGGTTCTTCTTGGTTTTGGAGATGGTGGTCGCCGTGAATCAACGTTGTTCTATGGCCTTTCTGATGTTCTCTTAATTCCTTTACGGTCGTTTGCTGCCTGGATAGGATCGATTTCAATGGTTTGAGACACTTACGTCACTCCAACAGGTCACACTCAAAGCTCAGTTAACTGATGTTAAATGCTGAGAGTCAAGTTTGGTATTCATCTCATCATCGCGACAGCACAAGTCACCAATACCCTTAGTAGTCGTCCTCGTGGTCGTAGTAGTCACGGCGCGTGCAAAGTTACGATTCCGTGCAAGAGCCAGGAGATCGCCCCGTCTTCTGCCACTGCACCAAAAGTGTAAATGTAGCTAGCAATTGCTCCAAAGCATTCGGTGTTTGACACTTGCTAGCTGCGCCATGCGCAGCCATCCAGTGAATCAGCTCAATCAACAGCAACACACGGCTGGATTTCTTGATCACTCTGAAGATCTAAAACATCATCCCCCCGATCGACCCCACGAACTTCACCGAGCCGCCGCGAAGTCGCGCAGACCTTCGGGCCGCTCGGGCAGCTGCAAGACCGAGGCCTCGATGAAGTCCTGAGGCCGACGCCCGGCCGTTGAGGGCAGCGAAGAGGACGGCGGGTGAGGACAGGGAAAGCAACGAAAGAGGGAAATGGCATGGATATGACCGTAGGTATGAGGGTATATATGATGGTATATATGAGGTTCAGGGTTCGCTCGTTCATCCTTGTTCCTTTCCAACCTTGGAGTGCGGGGGTCATGTAGAATCATGTAGACAGGCTCTCAGAAGGGTGGACCTAGTTGGTGCTCCGCTGGACATCACCAGGGTCACCGCCTCGCCGCACCAGAACGGACCGACCGAACGAACTCAAGACTCCGGCTCCATCGGAAGCGGTTCTGTCCGGGCGATCCATGTCCCTCTCCATTTCCTTCACTGGATTCATAAGTAAAAAACAAGAAGCAATGAACGTAGCAAGGGCATTGCTGGGAACAAGGGCATTACTACTAGCAAGAAGCTACTAGTATAGCTATTTGCTACTAGAAGTTTTCCTTTCCCTGATTTTTGTCCTGCTGCCCTTGTACCCATACGTGTCATCTTAGTGCCCCGCTGGTGGGGCCCCTTTTCCTTCCTCTCCTTGCTTGTCATATCTTATCTTTCCATTTCCCTGTCATTCCCTTGCTTTCTGTTTCCTTCTTTCTGTTCTTTCGTGTACCTGTACCCGCTTGTAGCATCTTAGTGCACCCAATTGAAGATTAATCAACCTTGCTGTTGCCCATATTATGTCGCGGGAGCCCTTTCCTGGTCCTTCCTCTACTTTCCTTCCCACTCTGTCCTGTTTTGTTTTATCCTTCCAGTGCAGGATTCATATGGACTTCAAATTCTTTACCTTCCCTTCTTCCCCTTCATTTCCTCAGGTTGTGCCCGTTCAATGAAGTCCTAGATATGAAGTCAGCTTGTACGAGAACTTGCCTTTGCCATGGCTTGTGCAAACATTTCGTGGCCAACCTGCACACCAACCAGGTTGGTTTCCATAAGTTGTTGCCATAGACGCAGGGCCCCAACGATCTTTCTGTGTCCACGTGGCCCATGAAGAATCCAGCAAGGTTCCCCCGACACATCGAGAATAAGGGAAAAGGCCCACCCAGGTGATTCGTTTCATTTCCATTCCCTTAATGATTAACCTTTGCACACTCCCAAGCCTCAGCCAGGCCAAAAGGCCTCTCTCTCTTGGGTTTCTCTGGGGTCCATATAGGTCCCCTTGGGTCCATCTGGGTTCTCCCACCACCTTCTTCGGCGGACCACAGGCATTGAAGCGCTCCGCGTAGTCCTTGGCAATCATCTGCATCATCACCTCAGCAGAACAAAGGTCGGGGGATGACCTCACTAGACGTCCCAACGGGCAAGTCCAGCTTCAACTACAGCTATTACCTCGAGGTGGACCTAGCAAGATGATCTTGAATGCCTTGGGACCCAACCCAATTGGCCCAATTGGGCAAAACCCTCAAAGAGGTGACGTGGGTCGAGTAAATCTCTACTCGTTGGTCAGCTGTTCACGCACTGTTCAGTCCCGTTTTGTGGCAGCGAAGGGTTCACGTTTAACATCGTTTAACTATATACGGTCTGGATACAGTGAGTCGTAACTCTTTGATTCCATCCCATGCCATGGGACGTCTTCTCTTTCGGATGGCACCCTCCTTGGGCCTTCCAGTCCTCGCCCCGTCCTCAGACCTCCAGGGCCCTCCTCTGCGGTCCAGGCACATCACTTTCCAGGGCTGAGACATCGGGATCGCTATCGTAGCCTCAGCAGCGGTGGCGGGTGCGGGCTGCGGTGCGTGCTGCGGGGGTCACCAGCGGTTTTCTCACGAGGTCCGGGTTTCCAGCAGCCGTGAGGTCAGGGTTTCCATCATCTAAGAACCATCCTTTGAGTGCTGGACCAGGGTTTTGGTTCCTTTCAGGAGTCTTTCAGAATTCAGGATTCCCTACCACAAGAACGTCCCACGCCCAGAAGCACGGCCATTGCGGGGGCCCGGGGCCGTGCTTCGTCTAGCGCGATCATTACGCCCAAACCGTCACGCGCCAAGCGACGCCACCCGAGCGACACCCTGGGGAGTTCACTCTCCGGGATGGGTTCGTGACTCACCTGGAGCACCGACCATCCACCCTGCAGCGAACAACCGTTCCCTCCACCGGGCTTGGTCAACCAAGGTATCCACTTACCCGTTCACACTTTCAATCGACTGTTCACAACCTGTCATATACCGAGTACCGGATCTCAAGGGGGGGGAGCCGCGCTGAGCTCGCTCGGAGCTGTGAGCTGAGACCGCTGAGCTCGGCGCGCTTGGCTACCCAGTTGCGGCGGTCCATGCTCACTGCCCTGGCGGGCGCGGCGGGTTCGTCCGGGCGGGCGCCGCAAACGGGAGGCCCGGAGGGGTCCCTCCGAAAGCTTGGTCGTTGTAACGTTGATGTAACCATATGGCAAAGGAAGGAACACATCAATTCCTATCCAAGCATGAAGCAGGCTCCCTATAATTGAACATAAGAAGTGTTATGCAGGGTTTGTGTCACCTTTCGTGGGTCTTGTTGGAAACCACTTGTCAATCCAAGGATCTGGCGAGGTCGAACAAACTTCCACCTCTACTAAGGATTAAGCACAGCAAATCTTCACATCAAACACTGATTTCAACTTACAGTACAACATCTTTGCACATCCACCTCCAATACCTCATAGACTCATAGATGGTTTCGCCATGTTTCACTCACATCCTCCAACCCCAGAAGAGCTTCACCAGTTGTTGCCCAAATAACCAGTCACAATCACCCTGACACGACGGATGGGGCTGGCATTTTGATACTCAGATAACTATTCACCTACTAGCAGTTCCAAAGGAATGGCTTTAGTCCCATCCAGTGAGTGGATGTGACAGGGGCACCCCTACCATCCAAGTTCAGCACCCCGTCTTGGAACTCCTGGTACATCTTTGGAGTGGTTGACAAAGTTTCATCCGACTCCATGTCGAAATTCATCCGACTCCCTCAGTTTCCCTGGAGTCGGAATCGTGGAAACGCCGAATGGTCCACACATTCGGTTCGTGGGATGTCCCCAAGGTCCCCCCAAGTCCAGTTTGGGTTCAGGTGATCCTTTGACTGGGTAGGAAGCCTGGGATTCACCTCCACATCCTGGATTAGATTGACCAGCAAAAACCCGAGAGTCCCAGAAGTTGGTTTAAGGGAAGATTTACAGGACACCCAGAGTTTTTCATTCCGAAAAAGATGGGTTTCTGGTAGATGTTCTTCAACCAAGTTCTGCGAGAGGAGCACAACCTGCCTGTGGCAAATGCGCATGGCACCCTTGGCAAAGGGCTCACTTTCCAAGCGCACCTGCAGCACTCTTCTTGGCAATCCGAAGAACCATGCATCCCTTAGGGGAAAGTCGTGGTTGGCGAAAAGGACGGCCCAAAAACATGCTGCTTTGCTGTTTCGAAAATATTTTCCGGTGGAGAATCTGTCAAATCTCTTTCGCCAAGGCAGCCCAGATACGCCAGGTAGCCTGTCTTGCAACTGCGGCAAATTGCAGTCGTGTGTGTTGTCTATTCAGTAAACCTAAATCATGTCGTTACATTTCCTCATATTGAAGTTCAGAAGAGTGGTTGCTGACATGAACAAAGCAGTCAACCTTCCCCTAAAAAGTGCAAAACATATCAAAACATGTTTTATCTCCAAAGTTTCAGATGACTGTAGACCACACACTCAATGACATCCATTATCATGACTGCCATGCAAGTCCTCAATCTCCACCTCTGAGCATCAAACAAACACCTTCACATCTCTTCAGCCTGCACTGTCCACCTCTTCATCCTCCACCGAGGCACCAGCAGCTCCTCGCTTCGCCAGCTGCCGCTCTTGGCTTCCCAGCGGCGGCGCTTGCCGCGCTCCAGGGGCAGCTGGGACAAGCGGTGGGCCCAGGGGTCTGGGCGGGCTGAAGCCTCATCAGCAAGGGAAACGTTTTGTGTTGGCGGAGATGGGGGAAGGGTGCGTTTGTGGATATACCCGATACACCTTGTTAAACAAGGTGCCCGCGTTGTTAACGACCCTGGAGTTTTTAGCACTTTCCATCATGCGCGGAAACGAATAATCTATGGGAAAACACGGGGCTGCGTGTTTCAGCCACACATTGGAACTGCAACGTACAACTGGCTGAATTTAGGCCCCCCGTGTCTAGAAGACAACAACGTATGTTGAGGAGAAAAATCATTAACCCTCGCAGTGTTTCGTGTCGAAATCATGTTTTCATGACACGCTGTCCATTGCGCCTTTTGACTTCCGCGAAGCAGACGCAGTCAGAACCTCAGGCACTGTTTTTGTCAATTTTTCCAAAGGTTCTTGCCACTGTTTCTTCGAAACCGGTAGCTCCAAGTGTACTTCATCAAGAGCGGGTCTAGTCCAGTGGAGCATTTGGCATGGCGGCATGGATACTGCTATACACCGTGGTACACGAAGAGTATAACAGATCGTGAGAAGTGCCTAGAACCGTGAAAGACAACGTCCAACGATCCGGGTCCAGAACCGTGTCTAACACAAAACTGTCAAGAGGTCCCGTGTGTCTAGTTGCTATAGAGAAATCAAAGAATCCACATCCTGAAGCCAAACAGCTCAGCGACGCGGTTTCATGTAACAAACAAAGAACCAGGTCAACCACCCGTCAAAGGCAACGGTGCAATTCCGAACCAACAAAACCTCCATGGTCCATGTTTCGGGAAACAACCATACCACGACGTAGTTACCCGCCCCCCCCCCCCCCACCCACTGTCAGAAAGTCCTTCAAGACAGCAAAAATGCTCTGAAACGCAGGGGTCACTAATGACGCCGGTAGCTTCGACAAGTACAATTTGAAAAGGATCAAGGATCAAGTTTAACTTGCACATCGCGTTGACGGAGATCACGCCCTCTTATCTATTCGAGATCTGCATCACCATGTAGAGCCCAAAGAGCTCCTGCCAGGATGAAGCAAAAATCACGAAAGAGAGGTCCATTGCGCGTGTAAGAAAGCCAAAGGTCTCAGACGCGCTGCGCAAAGATAAGCAGAACTGCTCAAACATCCAAGGCAGCAGCAGCACGGATGCAAAGCGACACAGCGAGCCAACCACATGAGATGCCCGGCGTCCCAGTTGGTGATTGTTAGACACAATCTTGCGTACAAAGGGGGTTCCCAACTAGTTTGAGCATCGCACCTCTCCACTTTTCTATGGTAGAACTCCAACAGTAAACTCGTTGTGGAATAAGAGGAAGACAAGATCCGGACACAAAGTCTTTCTAAGCTGGGCAACTAAAGGATTTCATTGCTTCACTCTTTTGAAACTTCCGCCTCTCCTTCCTCGACTCCTGGTTAGGTCTCTTACAGCAAACGGCGTGGACGACTGCTTAACGTCCGGGCAAGGACGGCCTCAGTGGATTGGTCCTAGGCACATTTAGATCCAGAAGTGCACCAATCATGTGGAGTCGGCCCTCCGCTAGTCGTCGATTCGAAGGAGGGATGCGGCGTCTTTCATTCAGAAGGCACAATTGATACTCAGTATTGGAATATTGGTGATCAGTACTGGAATACCAAGTCCTCCAATGTGAGAGTATTGAGTGGCTAGGTTTCTTAGTCTTAGTTGCTTTCATCAAATCTATATTTAGTACTACTGGAGTACTGGTGATCAATGCCGGGGATCAGTACTAGAGTACTGGGAGTCAGTACATGGAGATGAGTACCACGGGATCAGTACAAGTACTTCAGTACTGGAGTAATGGGAATCAGTTCTGAAGTGTTGGGGATCAGTAGAGAAGTCGCAATGAGTACTGGTGATCAGTACCCGGTAAGGTACTGGGAAAGAGTACTGGTGATCAGTACCTGGTGAGGAGTACTGGTGGGATCAGTACTGGACTGCTGAAAGTACTGGAGTACCAAGTCCTCTAATGTGAGAGTATTGAGTGGCTGGGTTTAATGACTTTTTTTCAAGGTCGGGGCACTATCCTGTCATCGTGTTAGCATATTCCGTACCCACTTCGATGCGAAAAGGAGCAGTTGGTGTTACTTTGCACATCCTGTGGAAAAGATGGCCGGGTGTTTGCCACTTGGTGATGTTGAGCTTAAGTCAACACCAAAACCTAGCCGCTTACCATCCAGATTTCCTGGCAAAGTCCCCATGTCTGCCCTATCCGTCCCTCCCGGGGTCGACCGGGCCTTCCGTACCGCCTCGATCCAGCGTTCTTTGGGCGTCGCGTTCCGTGGAGGCGCGTGGGGTGGGCTTCGTAGGAGCACCGAGGGGTTCGGCTCACCTCGGATCGAGGCTTCGGGATCCGAGGCTTCGAGACAGTTCGCCCTGGAAGGGTGGGTTCTGAACATGTTCGCACTGAGTCAACTTGACGCGCCTCGCATCAACGGAAGCCAACATGCATTTAGCTAGAGTTTTCACTAGTGTCTCGCAACTGACGTCACTGTCTGGTCCCTAACCGGGCAATCAGTATCAAAAATACCTCAACAATCCCACAGTGACATGTCTCAACCAACTAAAGCGATGGCAAGCCAAAGGAAACAAACTGCCCCTCCTCAGGAGGTTCAACCATATTCAACCAAGATGGTAGGACGTCTTGAGAGTGACAGGAGTCACTGGACCGGTGTCCATCGCAACATTGGCTGAGTGGACGCAACGCTTAACCGCGCGCTGCGCTGCACCCGTCTTTATGAGAGTACATCTGGGCACAGCACCGCCGGTGGTGGTGGCAGTGGTTGTCAGAGTACATCTGCACCTCGTAGGCTTTGAGCCCCTTTTGCTTCACAAGGAGTACGGTCCGGTGTGGCGTGGGTCGGCCACCGTCGCTTCGTCTTGCTGCCAGCACCCTTCGCCGATTCGCGTCGCCTCTTGAGATCTGTTTTGGGGTGTCGCAGCCAGGCATGTACGCCACTGCACTCGGTGTTGCAAGTTGTTTCAAGTTGGACATCAACTCGGAGAAACACATCTTGCCTGGACAGAGCTGAGCAAGAGAGTCGAGTAGGTATCAGGTAAGAGGACAAGGATGGTCAAATGATGTCAAATGTAAAGCAAGAGAGACACCTGCTGAACTGAACCTGACAGCGAACAGCATTTGACACCAACTCCATCAACAAACAACAGGGTCTGTTGAGGTGTGTTTTAACGATCCACACCCTAGCTTAACTGCAGGGGTGAGGCACTGGCCCGCCTGTCCGCGGGGCTTGATAGCTTGCATCCCTCCCTCGGTCCGACCATAGCCACCCGCCGACCATACCGTGAAAACTTCCCGGTGGTGCCCAAATATGCCCAAGTGGCGCTCGTCCATGGTCGACAGCCATTGAAGGCTGGCACCCACAATGCCTCAGCGGAATATATTTCTGGGGGAACTCGAGAAAAGGCAACGCAAAATCATTTCTACCGGTCAAAAGGCATTTCCCGATTTCGAACGATTGAAGTTTGCCAGCCAGGTGAAGGACACCATTCCGCAACTGGATGCATGCAACTTCGGGGACTGTCAAGGAGGATGAAAACACAAAAGGCAACTCATATAATATCGCATATCGGCATATCGCATGCAGACTGACAGGAAGAATTATACTCCATCAAATATCCTGAGTCTCCTCAACACCAACACCAACACCAACACCAACACCACCACCAACACCACCACCACCACCACCAACAACAACAACAACAACACCTAACATCGTGTGACGTCTGCACCTTGGCTTCGAGTAAAGGGCCTTGACTATGAATCCAGTCTGCCAGTCTCATTGGGCCAGGAGGATGTTGGGGGTCTTCCACGACATCCCCCGACGTCGACAGCCAAGTGGTAAACTTCTTCTTTGCTGACTCATTGTTGTCATGTTGACTGGAAAACCAAATACTTAGCAAGAAGCTAGGGTGGAGGCCAGAAGCTAGTAGGTTGGAGGCCATTAGCAAGATTGAGTCTTTGGATCTTTTCAGCCCCGCGACACGCGATGTGCAGTTGGAAGATCGTGTGCTGACTGACTGCGGTTACCGGGATCCTGATGCTGCGCAGGAAGTGCAAGAATTGCACTCAGGGCAAAAAGGCTGTGGTGCAAACTGGTTGCGCTGAAAACAACCTTCACCATGACTTCACCTATGTTCACCTGATTATCTCATCCATATATATCTAGCCCTCTCCAATCTCTTCCGCCTATAAAAACACGGGTCTCCCCTAATAACAAACACGCCGGTGCCATTGCTTGAAAACTATGTAGGGTATATAGTGTTTGTAAATGGGTACTCGGGATTCTTCTTTACGTTCAACAACACTTTTCCAGGACGTCTGACGTCGCGAGAAGGGCGCAGCCCAGGCACTCATGGCACAGCCCAGGCCGTGCTTCCGGGCGATCCTGGTGCTCCGAAGCGGGCGCTCGACCACGCAAAAGAACCACGGCTGGGTTTGGAAGCGACATATATGGCTGTGGGTCAAAACTGGGCAAACCCTGTTTTTTTCCCACCCCAAATGAAGAACAATGACTACCAAAACATGGTCAATCTACCAGGGATGCGGCATAGCCATATGGCACAACCTACCAGGGAATACCAGGGATCTTGAGTGGTCGAGGTCCTTCCGCCTCTGTAAACCGATGCGGAACTGGGTCCGACCTATGCCAACAGGATCGACTTGAATCAAAGTAGCTCGCTCAAGGGCTGGAAGATGCTGGCAGTGAGACGTGCAGTGGTCCAAGACATTCAGAATCTGTCCATTCCCAACGGTTCTTAAGCGGGTTCTTAGCAAGCTATCCCTGTAAGACCATTCATTGAATTCAAGAATAGACTTTGTCAGATGATCAACTGGCTGAACCCTCACCCAGATTCTTAGTGATCGGTACAGTTTCTGGCCCACATCCTGAGGACATTATCATTGATGATCCAAGTGTCATCATAAGCAGCTGCGAGTGAATGCGTTGCAAATCTTGGATGCTCTTTCCTGGCGAAGCTGGGTCAGAAGGACTTACCCTTGAACCACAAGACTTACTATAATTATAGCAATTAATATTTATGTATGTGACCTGCATGCAGCTGATTGTAAAAAAAGCGCCCACACCTCGCGCAACGCGTCGCGATACCGGTTACCCGCCCGAACCGGCCTCCGAGGAAGAAGGCTTCGAAGGACCCCAGGGACGGCGGCATGGTTTGGCGTCAGGTCATGGCGGCCTACCACATCTCCTCCCGCGCCTGACTTTAACGTCGCGATGGTCGGGGGACTTGACCCGGATCGCCCCGTGAACCGGGAACACCAAGCAAGACATGTTGAGGATTCACCGGACAAAAAAACAACATTGCCTGAAACAAGAGCAAGGTTTGGATCTTCGTGAATGAATTGTACTTTTTGTGGTTTGCATCCCACAAACACAAAGGACATGCACCTGATTTGAGATGCAGGAAACCTGCGTTTCGTCTCGGAAGATCCAGGAGTTGTGGCGTGCGTTCGCCATCAAAACCGGAACCAACCCATGAACTTCTGAAGGTGAACGCATGGTCAGCATCTTCTCCAGCGGCTAAATGCGGGATGCATTTCGTCTTGTCCCCGTGGTCAATAGGTCTGGCATTGCTGTGTCACATGCCCAGCTCTGAAAGAAGCTTCGGAAGAGATCCCATGTCCCAGAGGTCCTTGAGGTGTCCCAATTTATCCCGGATCCCAACAGAATCGGTGCCTTTGGAAAAGGAAACAGCACAGAATTCAACATACTGTCAATTCACATCTTTTTGGGACGCCCGTAAAGGTTGAGAGGTGGCTTTTGGAGAACTCACAAACACCCAAGATTGGTGATCAATCCGTCTTCTCCTGAATGGCACAGATCCGCCGTTTCTGGCGTCATGACACCCTGTATCAATCCAGTCTCCCCCGGCTGAACTCTTCTGGGATTGACACCGAGCCACCTGCCAACGGCAGGGACCCTATCGGCCCCGGGTCAAAACCGCGAAAGTACTCGCGAAAGTCACTTGACACCCAAGCCATCCCTTTCGCATCCTTTCGCATGTTGAACTATGGGGTCACTGCTGATTGTTGCGGAGGCTTGCAGGACTGTCAACCGGTGCCCGCGAAAAAGCGAACCGGTGGGACGGAGGTAACACCGTGAGGAAGGATGAAAAGCACTCCGGTGCTCGCTTGGTGGTTTGTGTCTTGTTGTGTTTACATGTCTTTTTTTCCAGGGTCGAAAAGGTGCTCATTGGTTGAAAAGGTGCCAACAAGATTGAAGGACCCTATAGATCCTATAGACTATACATGACTTTATACCATAGGTACCCCAGGTTACCGGTCCTATACTTAGACTTAGTCTCCCTCCTGGTGCCTGTTGATATGTCTGAGATTTCAGGTCACTGCTTGACCTGTGGGTCAAGAATGTATCAAGAATGTATGATCACTTCACGAACCAAAAGAGCTTGACGACGCATCTCCGCAGCTCGGCCTGGATGCCTTTTTGGGGCTCTGCGACCCAGTGCTTTTGGGCGGGTTTCTCCACGAGATCAGGAGCTGCACAATTATCCTGAGAAGCTCCCAAGAGCCCCATCTTTGGGTCGCCAATTTTCAGATTCCAAGATTGCCTGCCATCAAGTTAGGCAGGATGAACCCTGCGGGCATCAAAAGCAGTCGCAGCACAGCTATTCTATCTCTCCTTCAACTTCAATAATGCTGCTGTGCATTGCACACGAGATACAGAAAACAAGGGAGAAACACCTGAGGAGGGAGCAAAGTATTTACACAAGAAACAAACCTTTGATGAGGGAAAGGAACATGCCCCCCAAAATCACGTTCAACGCACTGTCACATAGAAAATACAAAGGAAGAACCATATACAGTATGTTTTCTTTCAAGACTTTAAATTGTGTCTGATCTGCAGATTTCTTGGCTCCTCAAAGTGTGGTGAACATTGAACACACACACACACACCAAAATCCACATCCAGGCTTGAACTACACTTACTGTAACAAACAAACCCTGGGAAGCGGCAAAACCAGTGAGTCTTTGCAACGTGGACAACAAATATGAACGCAGTATATAGGCATTGCTAACCCCACAAAGTACTTTTGCCAGGAGAAGACTGAGCTGGAAACAAATGGAAACAGTAGATCCGCCAGCCAGAAACGCCTGAGTGAAAGGAGCCTTCCAGTTCCATCCGTCTCACCCTCGATGCCCGCCCTCGCCCACACCGCGAGGTCTGGCGCATGCCACTCGGAAGAAGAGCCAGTGCTGAGGAGGAAGCGAGCAAAGTCCGAACAAATATTCTAAACAAATCCACCTAGTAGCGTCCCTGCTCGTAGTAGCGATGCCAGGAGCCCCTAGTAGCTTCCCTGCTATGTCCAAGTTGCACTTGCCAAGGATTTTTTCCCATATGCATTTGTGCGGCAAAACCACTAAAGGCCCTCATCTCAACACTGACGTCGGGTGCGTGGCGCCTCTCGCAGAGGCAGTTTCTGAGATTTATCATTGTCCGGGAGACGTCTCAGTTGGATCAAGTGCCAAGAGTCTGTCTACAGAAGCCGCAAGTTCCAAGCCTCAAGTAGGAAGTTGCAATGATAGCGAGGGAGGTCGAAAACGGACCTTTTTCCCAGAAACTACGCAGGGATGGATTCGTGTTCCTGTTTGTGGATGTTTGCGGCCGCTTTATCATGCAACAACGGCCGTCAACTGCGATATTGACCAAGGACTTGGAGTCCTAGTCCGTGCGGGTCTTTGTTTGTTATTCATCAAAATAACGATCGAACATATATTCAGCAAACCGAAAACGGAAGGCCCTAGACAAACATTGCAGAAAGCAACAAAGACATACCGAGAGCAGTCAAAGTGGAATGATTTTTGTGGAGGGTTTTCATGGACACGCATGTCGCATTCATCTGTGTTACGGGACGTGCCCCGGAGAAATGCATCACGTGGCGCGAAGCGGCTTAGCGCATCCACGGGGAAAACCTTCGCCGATGGGGTGGGATTCTGGACGTTCGGCTTCTGCGTTGGCTGGCCACAAATGGTGACTGTACCCATCAACAAATGGCTGCAGGCTGACTCCCTCCGTTGCGATCGAACATGCAGGTCAACTCAACCTATTTTCACCTGTTCTATCTCTGAGTGTGGTGTCCCGAATTCCCCAATAATTTTTCTGGGTAAGTAGGGTTTGGGGTGTGTTTGGTATTGCCAACAGCCAAATTAAGAGACTTGCGGTCACTCGGACCTCTGCAAAATGCATAACGTTTGCTTGGCCGACGTGAACCACAAAACTGAACCAAAAGACATGCCAAACACTCGTTATTTGTTTGAAGAACAACCGATATATTTTTGAGGAAACCGGCCATCAGAGTCCCATCCCTGAAACGGCTCGGATCACGGATCAGCAGCGATCTGGTCCTTAAAAGTCTGGTCCTTCACTCAGCAGGAATATGTCAAGGTGGTTGGAATGTGAGGTGCATTAAGAACAGGACCCGATGTGCTTTGTGATAGGAGAGAAGTAAGGTGTTACACGAGTTTGTTTCAACTGAAGGAAACGGAAGATGAATCAAAACTAATAGTTTGATCTTCAAAACTATCTCCTTCCTTCAACTTGTGAATCGGTTCTACCAGTTCTGTCTTGGTGTCATTGGACGGGCCTTCCCCCAGCCAGTGGTTGGACCTATATATGGGCCATCTGCCTGCCCTGTGGCTTGTATTTGCGTTCTTTAGTCAGGCTTCCACTAAGACCATCCCTTTTGGGGTGGCTGGACAGACCACAAATATGGACTGACATGGTCTAAATGGAGGGAACCCCATGGATGGTCTAAATGAGCGACCGGCAAAGCCTCAATTGTTCTTTGGTATTAGCTAAATTTTAGTTATCGTCTTTTGGAATTCCCTATATTGTTTTCCAATAAACCCTGAATGCATCAATGTCAAACACCTGCCAAATGGGTGCGGCCAGAGTTTTGAATCTCTGCCTCAGCTTCTTCACGTGTGGTAGCTGAGCACCTACATGCAAATATATACAACCGATAGATATTTTCATGTACAAAGATTTCTCTCATAAATCTCACATCCGGGCCATCCATCACAAGAGCACATTTCTGTTCAACATGGTTATCGTTCAACGCCTAATACATCTTGCGAACATATCGTGGGAATTCACATGTTTGCAAGAAGGCCGGGAACACTGCGAGAATATGCTCCATATACGCTACGAAAGCTATTTTACAATATATAGGATAATATAGGAATGGTCGGGGCCCAGTCGGGGCGCAGTGTTCGCACGGGAAAAGTGTCAATGTTCGCATGCTACACGGTCTGTTCCACAATTCCATGCACAACTATGCTGTCAGGAAGCGCAGGTGCATGCAGGTGCTGGTCCAAACGCAGTACTTGTTATCACATCACATCGCATGTGCTCATTCCAAGGTTATTGTTTTTGGGAGTTCATATATCGTTTATTATCGTTTTACAGGTCGAAGTGAAGGATTTGGCTCAATCTGTGCTCGAAGACTACTTTGTATCACGGGGAGTTTAGCCTCTTGCTCAAAATAGTGTCTGTCTTTTTGGCAAACCACCAGACAACCAGATCTGCTGTCAAAAGAGGTCTGCACCACGCTGCTCGGCTCGGGTCTCTCGGGCACGGGCGCGGGAGAGAAAATACCGAGAGCATTGGGAAAGCCTCTGTGAAACGCAGTGCAAGGAGGGGGCCCGACCAGGCGGCAGGGCCGTCAGGGTATTGGGTCCCTATATGTCTGTCACATATGCCAGCATTTTACGTAACAGTTGCCGAGATGACTGTTTTCCTGTGAGCCCTGTGTGACCACCATATACCGAGGCGTACATGCCACGGCTGGGCCCCCTGCCAAAACCGAGGCTCCTCATCACAGCGGGTCTTCGTGGGATTCGTGGCCAGCCCGAAGAAGTCTTCGGTGGCCGACATCGCAATGCGGCAGCCATTTTTGAACTTCGCAGAAAAGTGGCGAGAAGGGCCTGAGGAAACTCGTCTTTGGTCCAACAACAATATGTGAGGTGTCTGAGAACCTCATATCTCAGGAGTCTGCAAATATCTGCAAATATAACATCACTATACTCATCACGCTGGACGACCATCATCGCCGTGCTCTAAGATCTACATCGGGCCTTTTCGCACCGTTCGGTGCCAAACCAACGCGAACAGATTGAACGATTCCTCCCTGTTATATTTATTTGCCCTGTTCTTTGTGCGGTGATGTCCTTTCTCTTGATGACATTATAGTCCCAAATCATGAGCTGTCCCGGTGTATCCTCGTTGCGATGAGTTGCT